TAATGAATTAGTTTTGTGTTCACAATATGAAAACAACTCCAAAAATGTACAGTATCAAACAACCCATCTTACTCTGTATATATACACTTTTTAAAAAATGACTGACAGAATCTTTCTGGAAAAACAAAAACAAAACGATGTTCACGTGATAAAAGGAAAAGTACATAAATTCACACACACTGCTCTAAATATGTTAACATAAACTGACTACCTCAAATTTTCATAACTAGATCAGAAAAAAACAAAACAAACTAAAAGATTGTGCTGAGACAGCAGCACTTGGTTGATTGGGAAATCTCACCTGATTATTCATCGGATCACTTTTGCCTAAACCCGGAGCTGAGTCTTCCGATATTAAGAGTGGCTCGCTTTTCTCATAACTCTCCTGGCTAATGAGTGTATCTGCATAGTTTGGCTGGGGGAAGATCAGGTGACTCTTCCGGGAGTCAGCGGTGAGAGAAACCTCGTGGGAATATGTGTGCAGGAAAGCCTGCACCCCGTCCACACCCAGAAAGTGCGTGCCTGGTACACTGGTCAATCCACCTGTCGAAGACTGGAGTAGGCGCGATGTGTGCCAGCGCCTCAGCCTGAGTGCCAGCAGCACAATGACAAAGGCAAGGAAGACACAGGAAACCGCAGTCACAGCCACCACCAAGTACAGAGTGAGTCCGGAGTTATCGGGGTTGGCTGGAGACTCTTGGCTGCCTAGATCCGCCAGGATATCGGGGATGCTGTCGGCCACTGCTACGGTGAGTGTAACTGTGGCAGAGAGAGGGGGCTCACCACGGTCCTGGACCCCGATCACCAGGCTCTGCTTGAGCGCATCTCTGTCCTGCAGGACTCGCGCTGTGCGTACCTCGCCCGTGTGTACCCCTACCACGAAGAGTCCTGGTTCACTAGCCTTGAGTAGGCGGTAGGACAGCCAAGCGTTTTGACCAGAGTCTCTGTCCACCGCCACCACTTTGGTCACCAGGTAGCCAGGTTCTGCGGAACGAGGTGCCAGCTCCACTCCGGTGGAGCCGTCAGTGGGAAGAGCAGGGTACAGGATCTCTGGTATGTTGTCGTTCTGATCCAACACGCATAGGCTCAGGGATACGTTGCTGCTGAGTGGCGGGTCCCCGCTGTCGTGTGCTGTCACCCACAGTTGAAGGTCACGGAATTGTTCGTAGTCAAAAGAGCACATCGCGTACAAAACTCCAGTGTCAGAATTGATGGAGATGTAGGAGGACAGAGGCACCCCTTGGATGGAGTCTTCCGCCAGAGAGTAAATAACTCTGGCGTTCTCTTTGCTGTCTGGGTCGTGCGCTGTCACTGAAAAGATAGAAGAGCCTCTAGGATTGTTTTCAGGTATGAAGGCTGAGTAAGTGGAGTGAAGGAAAGCTGGTGGGTTATCATTGGCATCTGCCACGTTCAGCAAGATATGAGTTTCTGTAGACAAGGGTGGACTTCCCTGGTCTGTAGCGGTCACTGTTACATTGTAGCTCTGAACCTGTTCCCTGTCCAGTGGGCTGTTTGTTACCAACTTGTAATAATTTCCGTAAGTCTTTTCTAATTTGAAAGGTAAATTCTTAGGAACGAAACAGGAAACCAGACCATTTTCTTTAGAGTCTTGATCTTGCACATTAAGAAGAGCAATTACTGCACCTGGAGGAGAATTTTCCAGCACTGAGTTAGTAGAAGACGTGATGGTTATTTCCGGAGCGTTATCATTCACGTCTGCAACAGTGATCAACAACCTGGCTGTCGTTAGCAGACCTCCACCATCTTGGCCTTGAATTTCCACCTCATAGAATTTGTATTTCTCATAATCCAGAGATCCCCGTATTAGGACTTCTCCAGTTTGAGAATCCAACTGGAATATTTCAGAAGCTTTGTTTTCCACATTCCGGAATGAATACGTCACTTCCCCATTGACTCCTTCATCTGGATCAGTTGCGTTTACGAAAAGTACACGAGTTCCAGAGCTGAGATTCTCTGGAACACTCACTCGATACACTGACTGTGTGAACTTCGGGATGTGGTCATTTACATCAAGGACCACTATCCGAATGGGAACCACGCCCTTGCGGATGGGATAGCCTCCATCTAAGGCTGTGAGACGGAGAAAGTGAACAGTCTCTTTTTCCCGGTCCAGTGCTTCCTCCAACACAAGCTCTGGATTCTTGGCCCCATCGCTTCCGCCTCCCACATGCAAGGAAAAGTAACTATTAGGGCTTAGCTGATAACTCTGGAGGGAGTTCATTCCCACATCTGGATCCTTAGCATTAGGAAGCGGAAATCGCAATCCCAGAGCTGCGTGCTCACTGACTTTTATCTCAACTTCTTCTTCCCGGAAGCTGGGGGCGTTATCATTAATATCCATTATTTCTACCTCCACTCCATAAATCTTCAAGGTGTCTTCTACAAGAATCTCCATATTTAAAAGACAGGCGGAAACCGCTTCGCAGAGCTCCTCCCGGTCTATCCTGCCCGCCGTGATCAAGCTGCCGCTTCGCGGGCTCAAAGCGAAAAGCTGCGTCCTGCCTCTGGAGATGATGCGGACTCCGCGCTCCGCCAGCTCCCGGGGCTCCAGCCCCAGGTCCTTGGAGATATTGCCCACGAAGAAGCCTTTGTCCGTCTCTTCCGGCACTGAGTATCTGATCTGCCGAGTCCTGGACTCACGCAGTATCCCCAGGAAAACGCATAGCAGGACCACCCCGCTGCGGTTCAGGCGCCAAAGCTGATTAGCCATGGCAGTTCCCGAACCAATGTTAGGCGATTTCTTGTGTCGGTTTCTTTTTTTATCAGTTGGTTTATCTACAAAGCCCCAGGCCGTTCGCAGCCAAAAAAATAATAGAAAAGAAAGGAAAGTACGTTAAGATTTCAGCATCAGAATCTGTGAGTATCCTTCTCATTCGGCTTTGTGTGGCAGAGGTGGGGGAGGGAGGGTCTCGATCGTTCGCTTCCTATTCCGTGATTGGTGAACAGCGGCGCCTAGAGTCCAATCTTATTTTTACAACGTGTAAGAAAAACTCAACACACTGGACCAGAAGAAATTATTACTCACCTCTTTGAGAATTACAAGTAAAGCTTAAAATTGCAAACAATGAAGACGTGTTATTTTTTAAGTTTACCAAGAGCTCTTATGAAAGGAATACATATTTTCAAGTTTTAAAAATATTATTGGAAATGAAAACTTGGAATATTAGAGTTGGTTTCTATTGATTTTTACAGGCTGAAGGAAATGGCATTTATGAATGTGGAAGTAACATGGTTCTGACAAAGTCATCAGTTAGCGTGCTGATGCCTGGCTAGAATAATATCAACGTTTCTTTGGGTATAACATTTAAGAAAATTTGGATGGCTTTAGAGTTGTCATTCAAAATACCATGGTATAAAACTATATCTGCATCCCACTTACCTAACTAAAAGGCCCTTAATTCCATGAAAGTTTCGCCTAGCTGCACTATCGATTTTATCTTTGAAAAGTAGGATTAAAGCATTGTAAACTTTAGTCTTAACAGTGATATCCATAGGCTTATCCTACATTTAAGGAGTCCTGGTGGCATTGTGGGATAAGCACTGGACTGGCAACTGAAAGGTTGGCAATTCAAACTCACTAGCTATTACAGGGGAGAAAGATGAGGCTTTCTGTCTCCTGTAAAGATTTACAGCCTCAGAAACCCTTTATAACAGAAACAACATGAGTAGGAAGCAACTGGATGCCAATAAACTTTACCTTACATTTACTTTTGGAACTTTATGAAGAAATTTTCTAGAATCTTGAAATAACAGTGCCATACAATATGGGTATATAAAAGCATTATTTCAAAAACTTACCTGTTGAAAGGTCTTATCTGCTTCAACACTGGGTGTTAAAATGCTAGCCAATAGCATTGAGGAGCCATTTTTGCTGACACTATCTTGGGTGACTGGACAATGATCAACAGATGTGAGAAAGTGAAATTCTGGATTAGCTTGATCCCCAGGTACACACATATTATAGGCATAGGGCAGTGTTCCCTCACTGTAGTTGGGAGGAACCCCAAGATCAGATTTGACACAGAGAACAGACCCAAAACAGCCCCCGGCGGCGGGGCTGGAGGAACGTCTCAGGCGCAGTGAGATGGCCAGAATTACCGCCAGGAGGAAGAGCACGGAGATCACTGCCAAGCTCACCACCAGATAGAACTGCAAGTCGGCTTGAGGGTCAGAGACAGTGGGTTGATCGTTGAGGTCCGGCAGCGCCTCCTGCAGACTGTCTGCGAAAACCAAGAGCAATGTGGCTGTGGCAGAGAGAGGTGGTTTACCTCCATCTCGCACAGCGACCAGCAGGCGCTGGCGGGACCCGTCCCTGTCACTCAAGGCGCGAGCGGTGCGCACCTCGCCTGTTCGAAACCCTAGGCTGAAGAGCCCGGGCTCGCTGACCTGCAACACGTGGTAGGACAGCCAGGCGTTGTGTCCCGAGTCTGCGTCCACAGCCACCACCTTGGTGACCAGGTAGCCTGGCTGTGCCGCCCGCGGCACCATGTCGAAGAGCGCCGAGCCGTCGGGTCCCAGCGCCGGGTACAGCACCCTGGGCGCGTTGTCATTGCGATCGCCCACCAGTACGCGCAGGCTAACATTGGCGCTGAGCGCGGGCGAGCCCTGATCACGCGCCTGCAGTGTCAGCTCGAAGGCGCGCAGTTGTTCGTGGTCAAAGGCGCGCTGCGCGAACACCACCCCGCTTTGCGCATTCACAGATACATAGGACGAAAGCATCCGCGGTTCCAGATCGCTGGCCACGATGGAGTAGGATACTTGGCAATTCGGTCCCAGGTCTGGATCCGACGCTTCGACCTGCGCTATGGAGGCGCCAGGAGGGTTGTTTTCAGGCACAGAGACCACGTAGGGGGACTGTCGGAAAACCGGGGCATTGTCGTTAACGTCGGCGACTTGCAGGATGAGACTTGTGCTGGAGGAGAGGGGAGGCTTGCCCCTGTCACTGGCCACGATGGTGATATTATACTCTGGGGTCTGCTCCCGGTCTAAAGCCCCGTCAGTTACTATCTTGTAGTAATTTTTAGAAGATGAATGAATCCTGAAAGGAACGTCTCGTCCTATATGACATAAAACTTCTCCATTTTCCCCAGAATCCCGATCCCGTGTTTTGAAGAGGGCTACCACCATTCCAGGATGGGAATTCTCCAAAATCTGATCAGACAGAGAGGTGATTATTATTTCGGGGCTGTTGTCGTTTTTGTCCAGAACGTCTATAATAATTTTACACTGTGTAGAAAGAGATCCCGGGTCCTTCGCTTCCACCCCCATGGTGTATCTTTCTACTTCTTCAAAATCCAAGGACTGATTAGTTGTAATATCTCCCGTTGTGGAGTCCAGAGAAAACACGTGTTGGGCTTTGTCAGCCACACCAAGAAAGGAATAGGTGATCTCTGAGTTGACGCCCTCATCTAGGTCGGTGGCCCTCACCCTCAGTACAGTGGTGCCCCGGGGCACATCTTCCCTCAGGCTGACCCTGTACACGTCCTGACTGAACACAGGGGGGTTATCATTAGCATCGACTACTTGGACACGGATCTGTGTGGTGCCGCTGCGGGGCGGGTCCCCACTGTCGAAGGCAGTCAGTACTAAGTGGTGAGAGCTCTGCTTTTCCCGGTCCAGAGTCTTCTGCAATAATAATTCTGGATATTTGCCACCATCAGGATTGTCTTTCACCACCAAGGAGAAATACTCATTAGGACTTAATTGGTATTTGCTCAGTGAATTCGTATCAATATCGGGATCTTTTGCAGACTCAAGAATTGTTCTCATTCCTGGAGTGACAGATTCACTGATTTCTAAATTTATTTCATCCTTACGGAATTGAGGGGCGTGGTCATTAATATCCTCAACAACCACAAGAACATGAAAAATATTTAAAGGATTTTCCACCACAGCTTCCAACTGCAACTCACATATTCTTCTCTCTCTGCATATC